CCATGCATGCAATTGCCAGGCCCCCACTCCAACCAGTTCTCCATTGTTTACTCGTGTGCGTTGCCCATCTGTCTCTCAATGTGTGCCCAGCGTCTCGCTTCCTTCTCCCATTCTGTGTGTGTGTGCTCTTTGCACATATCTGTAAACTTTATTTGTCAACGGGACGCATATGCTGTGTGCTTGCCAAAAAAGGATAAAAAGTAGAAGAAAAAATATTAAAATAAAGGAATCATATCCTCGCTCACAGTCGGCACTCGCGTTGTTATCCTTGTCTGTTTGTTGTTGCGTTTAATTTTGCTTAATTTGATTTTGGTGGCACTAGAAGGCGAAATGTTCCTGGTGAGGGGCAAGGATTTAACAATGCCTGACAAATCTACATGCACATGTGGATTACAGCTTGTTTTCTCTTATGATAAATGGGAAAGCCTTGCACGAACTAATTAAGCATAACATCTTACATTTATGTTTGTCTTAAAATTTCATAGAAACGATCGACCTTTATACATCTTTATACATTTTTATACATACTATATAGTCCTCGGGTGGGTGGTGTATTAGGCTTAGTTTATAGTTAGGCTTAGTTTATAGTTAATCAAATGGCCTTACAGAAACCATATATACTTATATAATTTATACGTCTGATCTTTAAAGCGAACATGCCAACATGTACTCTCCCACAGATAATATCTGTCTCTCTCAACTTCCATTCTCTCAAAATTGTGCTCCTTAAAAAATGGTTAACGTATTGATAATCTTACGTTCTAGCGAGTATATTTATATACTCGGACTATTTGCAGCAATTTGCTATTTAATTGAATAGATTTTCTTAAGTCCTTCAAAGCTCAACCTTAATAAGATTTCGGTTGTAGTTAGAATCTTTTACCTACAGCCGTTTAAAATTCAAATGCTGCGGAAATCTCCTGCACTTGAAGTTAACCAGAGACGGTCCGGTTTTGACTGGCTTGTACCACAACACTGAGTGCTGGCAATAAAATTCCGAAAAACCTTTTTTGACAAATGAAACGTGCAACAAACAGGACACCAAAGCAGCTGCATGGAGCAGAGACCAGGTCTCAGCCTGAGCCTGAGCCAGTGCCAACAAAGATTTATGCATTTTACAGTGTGTACGCTTTATGCGAAACTAAACGGCAAACAGTTTTAGTGAAGAAGGGCACTGGTTGCCTTTTGGCTTGGCTAACCGAAGCCGAGCATGGCAGCGACTGTTTCTGGATGGGCAAACATGCTTTGCATGTGGCCCGTAGTCGGCAGTCATTTGACAGGAGGCGAGGGACGGTAGAGTGTAAGTCTATTGTGCACCTTAATAGACTGCAACTGCATCAGGTTCTGGCAGCCGGCAAACATTTGTGCAGCTTATTAATATGCATCCCATCTCAGTCGCACCAGCTCACGGAGATTAGTCCAGACCAGGTGTGGCAGACGCTACAAGGTTGAGCTTGGCCAGCTATCGACAATTTTATCTACTAGGCCAAGCGCAAAGTTTTCCGCTCCGTATCGAAAAGTCGTTAGTAAGCTGACCGACCGCAAAAAGAGAAAGAGATGTGGACAGAGCAAGTTGCCCGGCAAAGGTTTTATGTCTTAGTTGCAGTCGTCTTGACGCTTGCAAAAAAAAAATAAAATAAAAATTAAAGTTTTTCCAAAGACTTGCACTTAGCCTCAAAAGTTTACTTCACACAAAGTTTTGTGACTGAGCTTGTCTCGGTTCTCTAAGTAGATTTGTTGCCCTGGCCATATGCAGCTAAAAAACGAGTGTCTTTTGAGCAAGGGAAAACCTGGCCACCCCTCCCCATAAAGTAGCTGCATAATAGGCGAAATAACAATGCTTATAAATATGTAAAATCCAAGTCTCAGAAATAGCACAGAAATATCGTATGATAAGGATATCATGAATAAGAACATTTAGAGTTATAAGAAACAGAAAGTAGCATTAGAAAATGCAAATGAGTGCGCATTACTTAAACTTTCAACTATCAAAAGGAATATTTCATGGGCGCAATACCCTTTTTAAGATCCTTGGGATATAAATAAACAGGCTGGAAAACATTGAGCGTTCGAAAAAATAATGTCAGAAAACAGTAAAAATCTTATAACTTGACTCTTCAAAATAATGAGTACAATAATATTTATATTTTCGAAAAATTTAAGATTATACGTCGCTAGATATGGGTAAACTTAAGGACTTTTTAAATAAGAACTCACTATTGGCAGCTACCGCTGTAATTATGACTGTTTGTGCGTTGTGTATATCAATTTTCTCGGGCTTTCTTCATGAGGTCGGAAAGGTCAAGTCAATTTTGGTGAATGTGTTTCTGGTTACTATGCTACTGTTCCTAGTGAGTGACACAATCAAGTTCCTGGTATTGTCAATGGACAGAGCCTGGTGGCCACATCAACAGGCCTCGTTCAATGTAGATAAGAATGCGACCATTCATACACGCACCCATTATCTGAAAATGCGTATAAATACGCTGCGTTCACAGCTGTTGGCTACCGAGAAGCATTGCAACGAGCCCCTGAACCTGATGTATCAGATCAATGCCAAGGACTTGTGGCTGTATGGCAAGTATTTCCTGCTACTGATGTGCCTGGTGCTAGTCTCGTGGGATGAATTGCTCTACTACAATACCAAGCAGAAGTACACGCTCTTCAAGAACAATCAGACTCGCACCTTGGGAGTAGTCAGCATTCAAAACCTACACGGACTGTTCACGTTTCTTGAGTCTGCACTTGTGGCGCCCTTTGAGCCGGATTCGGAAGTTACTGGACAAAAGACATGGTTGTATGGCGACCACACCACCAAGTTGGGTGTTGTACGTTTGCGACAGCTGCGCAGACGAGAGAACTTTCACATTGGCTGGGGTGAAACCGAGTTCTCAGATTGGGACTATATGCCCAGATGGGAATTGCCTTATCAACGGATGCTGTACACAGACAAGTATTGGAAAATCTATGAGCCATGGCTGCCCATATATCCCACACATAGTACAGCGACTAAGATGTTATTCGGCTTTTATCATGATGGCTATACACAGAGCTTCCCAGAGCTGCACGGCTATGTAACAATGCTTGCGCGCAGCTATAACAATAGCATGAAGGTTGTTGATTATCTTATAAATATGAATTGGCTGACATGGAACACATCGGCGGTATTCGTGGACTTTACACTCTACAATGTGGATGCCAACATGTTTACCATATGCACTGTGCTGATCGAACAGACGCCATTTGGCGATATTGTTACCACACTGAACATAATAAGTGTCCAATTGCAATTCGTCGATCAGCTGGGGACACTGGGCATAGTCGTGGTGCTCATCTATTTTGTTGTGCTTATACAGTACGCCAAATCGGTGGTCATAACGCTCTGGTATGAGCCGTACAAGTTGCGCAGCATGTGGAACAAGCTGGATTTGATTATCCTAGTGCTAAATGTCATTGTGATCGTTCTGGTTATCATACGGGAAATAGTTGTATCGAATTTGCTCGAGAAGGTGGAGAGTTCAAGTAAGCTTGTGTTCCTTGACTTCAGGCTGCCGACACGCTTGCATGTGTCGAGTACCATAACGGTGGGATTTCTTGTCTGCATGGCTACGTTGCGATTGTGGCGGGTGCTTCTCTTTGCCAGCGTTTTTCAGTTATTCTCCAATACGTTGTACTCGGCATGGAAGGCGTTGGCTAGTACAGCCATATTAATACTTATATTTTTGTTCGGCTACGGCATGGCCGTTGTCATTATAAATGGCAACAATACGGTTACATTTGAGAAACTGCTGAAGAGCATCATCTCGTCTTTGTGCTTCTCCTTTGGCTTTACCTCGCAGTTCAATCCACGCGATCTCTTTCATGGCGGCAGTTTTCTGGGCTTAATTCTATATTTAATTTTGGCCTTTGTGGTTGTTCAGCTGTTGATGAACCTTTTTGTTTCGACAATCAACGATTATTTCTTACATGCCAAGCTCCAGCGAGATGCCAAAGCGTTGAACTACATCAGCTTCCTGCAGTTCCTACGTGTGGAGTACGCCCCAGTCTTTCGATTCTGCCAGAAACTGCCTTTCTGTCGCCGAGGCTACAAGCGGCATAATCGCACAGTTACCGAAAACTTAGATATCAAAATGGACAAAAACAAACGCTGGAGTGAAAAGAAAAGATACCAAGCTCTTTCTTTTGGCGATGATACTAAAACGGAAACCTTCAAAGGCGATGAAAAATCTAGGCAAGAAGAATATGTAACGCATATTGAACGTCTTTATACGGTTGCGGCCCTCATGCAAACCCAAATGGCATTACTTGACCACTTGCTCTTTAAGGAGGAAGACTCTTTAGATGAATCAGATGATGAAAGCGATTCTGAAGATGAATATGTTTAAATATTATTAATGGTATTTTTATCTAAAAAGGGTCAAGATGGAAACAAGTTTTTTAATTATCGGAGAGAACAGCATGTCAGTTGTCAGATAAAGCTAAAGAATCCGATTCTGTTACTAAACAAATTTAATTACAATCTCCAGTTTGTAATATGACAAATAAATCTAATAAAAAATATGTCCAGTATTAATTAGCAGAGAGACCAACCTCTATAGAGAGTGTCAATTTATTTACACAATTCAGATGAAGAGACCTTTTCATAATATTAAATAATATTAATATTAATTGTGGGCAGATGCAAGATAGAAGTACTACATCATCCGTTATGTGCATGTGAATCTGCACCCTTAAGCATTTATTTAAAAAATACGTTTTAAGATTTTTTTGTGGTTCATTTGTATACCTATGTTAATCTTTACTGAATGCTATTAACCGAAAGGATTCTCTTTAGCGGCGTTCAGCATATTGTTTCACAGATGTTTTCGTTTCGGTCAATCGAGGTTAAGTGTCAATTTTACAAAACGGAACAAATATGGCCTACTTTTCCAGCGTTGTTGACGAGAAAACCCAAACTTATCCAGAAATGTTCATTTAAAATCATTTCCAAATACTTTCTGTTCCAGCAACGTTAAGTTAATAAAATATAAACCATTTTTCAAAACTTCAAAATAAAATCAACTTGCAAGTAAAAAACAAACAAAACGCGGATAGAAGAGGCATCGATACAGATTTAATCATGAACCAAAAATCAAGAAACTGTGTTTTCTTCATGTTCACAGCAGCAATCATCTCGACATGCATGGGTCTAATGATTTATTATTCGGGCTTTGAGCACGAATCGCGGAACGCCAAAAACATTTTCTTAGCCATCGTGATAGTGCTATTTTTTCAGCTCCTGATTGGTGAGCCAATTAAATTTTTGCTAATCGCACTTGATATGTCCATTTGGCCGCGCAGCATGCCTAAGTATCGCAAATATCAAGATGAAGAGGACAGCGATGAAGAATACAATCGTTTGAACTTCCTGAAGCATCGCTTAAGGGCAATGAGAGTTCAGATCCTGATCACCGAGCGTTATCGCAATGAGGTCCTCACCCAGGAGTACAAGATTATTGCACAAGATCTATTTCTTTATGGCAAATACTTTTTAATACTGATTGGCGTGGTGCTTGTATCGCGGGACGAGCTATTGTACTACAATACCCGCCGATTGAATATGCTTTTGATGAACAATCATTCAACTTATATTGGGCTTAAAGAGGTTTATCATCTGAATCAGCTTTTCGATTTTGTACAGTCATCGCTAATTGATGCTTTCAACTACGATGCCAACGATACGGGAGTGTACTCCTGGGTGCACAGCTTCCAAACTAAAATGGTGAGCGTGGTGCGACTACGTCAACTGCGCCTAGCCAATGAACATATGGGCTGGAATGATCCTGAATTTACGGATCAACCTTATTTGCCCAATTGGCAATTGCCATACTATCACATGCACTATGCCGAGAAATATTGGCGCATTTATGAACCCTGGATACCGCATGTCGAAAAAGACTTTGCTTCTCGCGTTCTGCTTAATTATAATCATTTGGGAAAATTCACGGACTATCCCGAGCTAAAAGGTTACGTCGCGCTGCTGGCACGCCAGAAGGAGAATAGCATGAAGATACTTGAATTTCTAACCGAATCTCATTGGCTAACCTACAACACGTCGGCGGTATTCCTGGACTTTACGCTATATAATGTCGATGCGGATATGTTCAGCGTGTGCACATTGCGCGTAGAGCAAACACCCTTTGGTGGCATCATACCGGATGTTTACTGTGACAGCATTGAGCTGGTCGATGATGTCCTACAGACAAGCTATGTGACATTGGTGGTGCTGCTCATCTATGTGATAGTCCTTCTGCAGTTTATTCATTCATTCCTGGTGCAACTTTGGTATGAGCCATTCAGGTTGCGCAGCATGTGGAACAAATTGGATTTGATTATAATTGTGCTTAATGTCGCAATGATTGGGGTCGTCGTCACGCGTACAACAATCGTAGCCGCGATGCTAAAGAGATTGGAGGGTGCCAATAAGCTAGATTTTCTAGACTTTCGGAAACCGGGTCGCCTGCTTGCCCTGGCTAATATATTAACCGGCTTTCTCATCTGCGCAACCACGCTGCGTTTGTGGAAGGTGATGCAATTCGCCAGGGTATTTCAGATATTCACCAAAACTCTGTATCTGGCCTGGAAGGCATTGGCCATCACCGCTCTGGCCATTACTATCATTCTGATGGCATTTGTCATTGCGTTTGTCACTATTAATGGCAACAACAGTTCCCACTTTGTTCGACCGGTCAAAAGTGTCGTCACGTCCATGTGCTTCGCATTCGGCTTCATAAGCGAGATCAAGCCAAACGATCTCTTTCATGGTGGTAAATATCTGGGCATTGTTATGTATGCTGCTTTGGGATTTGTGATTCCTGTGCTGCTGATCAACGTGTTTGTAACATTAATTCATGACTATTTTACCGCCGCCAAGATCATAGGTGATGCCAAATTCAAGCGACAAATTACATTCTTAGAATTTCTACGTGTGGAATTCAATGGTGTCCACCACTTCATTCGTAACCTGCCTTTTTGTAAAAGGCAGTACAAACGCAATAATCGCACAGTGGCTGAGAATATTCAACGTATTTTGGACGAGCGCGACAGGCAAAAGATACTTAAAGCACGATCGGCTAGCTCCATATTGACTAACGTAGCAACTATTGAAGTTGAAAAGGACGAAGAGACTCTACAGGCTGAGTATCGCGAACACATTGAGCATATATGCGCTATCTCCAAAATTCTACACATTCAAATCGAAATTCTAGAGCGGGTTATATTCGACGAAGTTTCAGATGAAACGAAGGACTGGAACAAGAGGAGGATTTCTAGGAGACCCGATGGAAACGATCAACCTCCCGACCCCCAGGACGGCAAACCTTCCAATAGATATGATAGCTTCGTATGAGCTTCGATCGCTTGGCGTAAAGAAATATTTATTTTATTTTTCGTTTCCTATTTCTGGTTTAGATTTAAATAATATATAATATATACAAAATAGTTTCTAATTGCTTTATGCCTTGAATGCCTTGAAAATGGGTAAAAAGGTCATTTTTGTGCATAGATGTATGCAACGGGCAGGAATTATCTTCGACCACAAAAAGTATACATATTATCGATCAGTATCAATAGCTGAGTCGATCTAGACATGTCCGTTTGTTTGTCCCTCTGTTCCTCTGTCCATCTGTCCATCCGTCTGTCGTCTGTATGTATGAACACAAGGATCAAAAGACTTCTCTATTAATTATTTATTTATTTATATTTTTGTGATAGCTCTTGTATTTATGCCCTTGTAGAGGGTATTCTAATTTTTTGAAATGTGTGGCGCATAAAAGAAGACGTTTTTCGAACCCATAAAGTATTGATATTCTAGATCAGCATCAACAGTTGATATAGCCATGTCCGTTTGTCTGCTTCGTTGCATAGATCGATCCAAAGTTAGTTCTGGTAAGAAAATCTTATCCGTTTATCAAGCTATCTTAATCAAACTCTGCATTTATAAGTTACAATGCCCGCTACATGTACGTAACCATAGAAAAGATTGGCGGAATAGTAGGATCTTATAAGGAAAAGTGTTGTGTTTTCAAAGATATTTCAGCAAACTCAGCAATTTGGAGCTGCATTCTTACATATCTGAAAAAGGGAAACGTCTAGTGAAGGGTATTAAGTCTTTGTTTTCTTTTTATGATCTAAAAAAAAGAAAATAATAATAATAATAATAATAATTCGTAAATACAAGATTTAAATTATGAGGATGCAATAAATGAAAACTATTTTATTTTTGCTGCTTTTTTTTACTTTTAATATCTTTCGTTTTCCATTTAATTTAATTTCTTTTCTTTATTTTTATTATATATTTTTTTTTTGCATTCACACAAATAAATAATTATGCGCAAACAGAGAAAACTTTGACTTGAAAAGGCTTTTAGGGCAATTTGGTGATGGCTTTGTTGGACTTGTTTGCAAAAACTTGAACGGAACCTGAGCCTGGCTGTGGGCCAAAACGAAATGACTTATAAGTAACGAAGCATTTCGGACATACTTGAAAGAGCATTCAGCTCTCACAATTGTTATAGGTTAGCAAATAAAAATTTAATACCTCATGCTTTTAGGCTGCTGCCGAAAACTATTTGAGTTGCCCAGTTTTCAGTTACCAGTTGCCAGTTGCCAGCTATGTGTAATCGGAGGCAGCAGTTATTGTTAGACCCACACTAAAAACTTTACAAACATTTTGATCAACAGCAAATGTAGCTAAACTAAACAATTGCGAACGGCGCTAAACTTTTGCCAGTGTCCCCCCTTCCGCTGATCCAGGGGGCCTTCCTTCTCTAGTAGGAGACAGACTGTCTGCAACTATTCTTTTGGTGCATACTCCCGTGTACATGCATAATGTGTGTACACATACATATGTGCATGTCACTTGGGGAATTGTGTAAACTTTTATAATTATTAGCAACAAATGAGCAGTGACAGAGCACTTTTGCAGTAGCTGTAACTTTTGCCAGACAGATATTCTCTGCAGTCCCAAACAAACAAAAAAATCACAAATGATTCCTGGCCGCTCAGGCTCAATTTAAAAGTTTTAACTACCTGACTAGTCGTATGTGTGCACCTACGAGGCAGACACTAAGAAATAGTGTCCCAATCAAAAGCCCTTTAAACTTTTAAATGCCTTAAGTGGGGGCGGAGCAAAAACTTTCTAATTTCTGCCTGACTTCGGGCAGTTTTTAATGCTAACATGTTTTTATTACAACATTAAACGCATGCTGTCGTACTTTAAGTTGTTAAAAGTAATGTATTTAGATTAAATTTAAGCATCAAAATAAACTAGCTATTCGAATTGATCAACTATGGAATACTGGGATTAGCATGCAAATCTACATTCAAAATTGAAGATCTAATAAAAATGTAAATACCCGTGTGGTTGGCGGGCACTAGAATACCTCCACAGCATGTCACCGCTTGTCGTACAAGGCGACTAATAGAGACACTCTTCCCATGCCCCAAATCGAAGTCTGTCGGTTCTCAAATAGGATGCCTTGCCTTTTTTTTAAAAGTTAATTTGATCTCTACGGTAAATCAAAATAGTTTTGCCAGTCATAAATAACACTCAGCCGATATCAGTGAGAAAATCTGTTGGAAAATCCATTGAATTATAAGATTACTGAGCATTTGAATATGTTAAGTAATTTTATGTTCACATTCACGTGTGTTATGCACGTGAAAAATTTCAATATATGAATAGTTTCGGACGGAAACTGAAGATGGGACACGATAATAACGTAGTTGGTAATATTCTTGAGAGTTTATTACCCAACACTGTAGTTTATTATGCATTGGGCTGCTTTGCAACCGTTTTCAACACTCACAAATGTCAAATCATTTGAGAATTGTGCAAATTCGTTAATTTCCATTAACATTAGACGGAAACGTCATGTTTGGCAAATCGGAAAAAAAACATAAGGAGTCCAAAGAACTCGCCCCCATCTATATCAATCTAAAAAACAATGATGTCCAACACTATTTGCCGAATGACGAAAATGTCAAGAAGCATAAAAAATCAAAGCACAAGGAACACCACAAGAAGCACGGCAAGAAGCACAAAAAGCACAAGCATAAGCACTCCAAAAAGGAAAATCTACCAGTGCCAGTGGCCCAGCTAGTGCCAGAGTCGTTGCCAGAGCCAGTGCCTGTAGCAGAGCTAGTGCCAGACGTAGAACCAGCGCCAGAGCAGGCGCCAGTTCAAATCGAGGAGAAACCATGCGAGCCGACAGTACAGTAAGCTCACGAGTTGACTCTTCAAATCATTGCACTCAGAAAAGCATTTAACTAAAATTTGTTTGTATTGATAGGAGCTCAATGTGGTGGAACTATGACCAAACGCTGCTCTCTGGCTATAGCTTTGGCAATGCGGATCTCAATTTTAATCTGGGTGGTAATGGGCCGATGCGCATTAACCAGCCAATTAGGCAATTTTCCACGTTTATAATACCAAAGCTGAGGAACAAGCAACAACAATGCATGAATTTAAATACCCCCTCGGAAGTTTTTACAACGCAACATTCGCCGGCTAGAGATTTGGATTGGTTGCACGATCAAAACTTTAGGCCCATATCGCCCATTAAGAAAAGTGATATAGACCATTTGCCGACATCGGAGGATATTTGGTTAAGCTACGAAGCATCCAAACAGGGCGCCGAGCCTGAATGGCCAATTTGCTGCACTCAAAATGCATTCAGTCCCATGCCAGCGCCCAAAGCAAGACCGGTTAAGTCAAAGACGGTCGAAAGCACACAGACAAGCCAGTTCAATGACCTGGATGAGGTGATCGCTAGCCTCGCGAACTGGGATTCTAGCTGCGAGCGAAGAGAGGAGTTTGACCAACAAACGCAACAGGACGCAGCGAGCGTGTCCTTTGTGGAATTGGATAGCTTAGACCTGAGCCTGGACGAGGAGCGCGGCCTGGTGGATTTTCTAAAGTCAAAACGACTCCATACGCCGCTCAGTGATATCAAAGCCTTTGAAATGCTGCTGAACATGGCCAGAAGTGAGGAAAATAGAAAAGCGCTGCAAGATTTGCTGCGCCCCAAAATGTTGGTACAGGTAAGGCCAGGTAAAGGCATGCATAAGGCGCCTTCAAGGGAAGGACAGGATACACCCATGGAGCTGGAGTTAGTTAAGGAAAGAACTGTGATAGAAACAACGCAGCAGCGAGTAGCTGAAAGGGTGGAGCTCTCAAATATGGCACCGCATGTCATCAAAACCGAGGACATGCAGAAGGCCATAGACTCAATCATTGTCATAGATCAGCCGCAAGAGCAACACCAACAACAAAAGCAAAAGCTTGACATCAACACGGATGATCAGCCCGAAAACGACCCAAGGCCTGATCAGCCATTAATAGCAAATGTGGAAAAACTGCCGCAGCTTGTTGCGACGCCAAAGCCGCAAGAGGACGCCGTCCAACTGTGGCTGCAGCAACTGGGGCAAGATCTGTCCCGCGTGGTACAAAGCCGACTCGACTCGCTGCCCATCAGAGTGCCAGAACGGCTGCCCAATGCGGCACACATAGAGCCCATAGATTTCGAAGCACAGATCAGTGAAACTGCGCAAATGCAGCCCAAGATTAAAACGTCAACGGGTGAAGGCCTGCGCCTCGAGTCGGAGCTAAAAATCACAGCTGTCATACCGCAGAGCCCGGGGCAATGGGAGAACAGCTACAAACGACGATTGGATGACTTTGATGACATCATTGATCAGAACATGACCGAGTTTCGGGATCCGCAGGGTAAACGCCTGCGCGCTAGCCGATGGCTAAACGATGCGGGCAAAAGGAACTTGGACAGTTTGAAGCGTGTCCTGGAAATGCCAGCGCTGCCAACGCATCTGGATCAGGGATTGCAGCAGCTGCGCATATTACGGCCACCGACCAAACGCAAAATCGAACGCACCAAAATGCCAGTGGAAATGAAGCTGGTGCGGGCGTACAGCACGCTGGAGGTGAATTGCAACTTGGATATGAATCAGCTGGCCCTGGAGCTGGACAATGCGGTATACAACAGCGATATACAGGTGCTGCAAATGAGTTACGATGCCGCCCAAATGGCTTGGATTTGGGATAATGGCAGCATACTGATCAGCAATGCGCGCAGCAAGGCCATACTCGTCGATACCCAAAAGTGTATATTAAGCAAAATACTGGGCGATGCAGCGACGGTAAACATGGCCCAGCATAATGCATTGCACTCACAAATGATACACATCGCACAATTTCCGTGGCACATTTGCATTGAGGAGTTCAGCCAAACGTATTCCCTCAGCTCCGATACAGTGCAGGATAGCCTGCGGTATGCCTACTATGTGAACAAAAATATACCCAGTGTCGCGGCCAAGGTCTATGAGTCCGGTGCGATCCATGTGTTCGCAATGACCGCTGTCCAGGCTGATAATATGCTCGAGAAGCTGTTTCTGCTCACGGCCAATCATCGCAAGTCAAAGGCAATAATTCCGCCCAAGCAAAAGTCTGAATGCAATGGCACTTTTATACCATTGTTTCCCACTTGAGTAGCCCAAAAGAAATATGTATTTACATTTTTTATTTAGCTAGCAGTCGTGTCTACAATTGCAGTTTATTATACGTAGACTACCCAATAAACAATTCCTTCGAGTAAAAACTACCCACGGTTCTCTTTTGACATCAACAAAAGAGCACACTTCGCCTGCAGAGAGTTGGCGCTGACTGGAAAGTCTCGCAGAAAGCTTGAAATTCGCTCTCCTTTTGCGAGAGCGCAAGCTTTTGGCAGCTAATAGGCAGCCCGCAGCGCTTTTTGGGCTAAACTTGTGTGTGCTGGCCATAAAATATGCCGTTCTCTGACTCTGACTTCGGGATTTGCGGAGCGCAGGAATTTAATTCATAAGTTAAGTGGCGTGTCCTCGGCCGTATACAGCCAAGGTTAAGTGTGGCTCGCTGCTACGGCTGCTGCTGCAGTAGCAGTAACACGTCAGCGCCGAGTCCGGTCTCCCGAATCCGAATCCTGTCGCCCACCCCGCTTCTGCTCTAGCGTGTGGGTGTTTCTATTACTGCCATACCATATTCCGATTTAAGGTTTTGCTGCTTGAGCACGAAGCCGCATACCCCGAAAGCACAGGCCCTTCATCTCAACAATTGCCTGGTAATATAATACATCGACCCATTGTCTGGCTTGGCCTGAACTTTGCCTATTTTGGCCGTTGTCTTTGGACTCAAAAAATAAAAATGGGTTTTGATTGAATCTTTGCAGTGTGTAAGCGCGACAAACAAATTAAGCAAATGACACCATGGACAAAATAAATCACAGCCGAAGCCCCGACCAACAACAACAATCGCATAATCACAGCTTGTCACGCCCATAACAAATGCCACCCACGCCCCCGTCTGCCATGATTTGCATAAAGAAATAACCCAAAATGCGGCTGGGTAAATTTTTAGGGCCTTGCTGACCTTTTGTATGCCAATTCAAATAGACGCATGCCTACCCCCCCCCCCCTGCGACACAACCCCTTGTCAGCCTTTTTTATTTACATGACACGTTTCAGCCATCCGACGATCCGCCCAAAAAAGAAATTCCCAACACCTACCGATAAACAAAAAGCAATGCAGCAAATATTGAAGTAATCAAAAATGCAAATGTCACTACGTGAATTGTAAAATATCTGCGGTTGTTTTTTTTTTGGAGAGGCCTTGGCCTGGACGGGATGACCAGGACTAGCAATAAATCTGCTTGCAATTGAAGAGCACATTAATTCCTTTTCCAGCTGTTTATCGCAAAAAGTTAATTGCTTTCCCGTGCTCTCTATTAATCATATTCCATAATTTGCTTAGCCTAATTAGCGACCGGCAGACAAGCAGACGACTCCTTAGCAAGGACGATAAGCTGGGCAAAGGTCAGAGGGCGCACAGTACGACTGGGTCATTAGCAACGGCTCAAAGCACAACAAATTCGCAAGTAGGTCATTCAAATGACATATATATTTTGTCCCTATGAATGTATATTCTCATTTTGTTTTGTTTTTACCCATTCGCAATCTGTTTAATAACTCCCTTTGTTTAAGGAATATTTTAATTAGTCTTTAGACTAGCATATAGAATAAAAGTAAGAACAGAACTAAAATGAGAGGAATGTTAGAGGAAAACGATAGGATATAATATGTAAGGTGAAAAGTAAATTCATGCTAATTGTTTATTAAAAACTATTTTCTTGGCAAAAGTGTGGTTCGACTAAGAATACTTTTCAAACTTAACAAGCAGCAGAAAGTTAACAAGCAAATATAACAAAAGCAGCATTGGGAAAAAGGTGTGCTCAAGTACAGTTGCCTGCAAAGCGACGGAACTTAGTCTTAGCGTAGAAAGGAAAGGATTGTGTTACGTGTTTTCCAACACTACAAAATTAATTATTTCCGGTGCATTATGAGGCATAAAAGAACTCGTTCACAATTGGACTTGCTATCAAAGTCTATTCCATAAGACAATTTAGACCTTAATTAAATTATGAAATCAAATGAGAAAAACATCTATTCCTTTACAGACCAGGCTAGGAACAAGTCTGCAGCAGACTTAATTAAAGCTTATATAAATACAAATTACTTTACTTACCAAACTGGGTTTCAGTTCCCAGCTCTCAGCTTTCTATAGATTAAGATATATATGTATATATATTTAGATATATATATATTCATACTTCAAATTATCCGCTTGCACTTTTTTCTCATCTTTTCGCACGAGTAACAGACACATTCTGCCGTACAACATTAGAACAAATGTTCAGATTTAACAAATTTTCTCCAGTCTACAATATAAATGTGCAAAGAAACAACAACGCATAAATAAATACATGTACGTACTTCTACTTTTTGACTAGGCCATGTCCTGAGCCTGGAATTGCAGTCCTCTTCTGCAGTCGCCATACGGAGTCCGGAGTTTCACAGAGTTGGGTGCGAGATTTTTTAATGCAAAATTCGTGTAGTGTTGCGAGCTATGAAGTGGGAAAGGGTTGGGTTGGAGGTTGGCTCTGGGTCGTAGATCTGTTTTTGCCGGTTAACAAAGGCCATGTACCGTTGCTTGTTTTTGCCATTAACAGCAATTACTAATGGCAAACAAAAACGCAAAATGGGCGGCCAGCGCGTTGCCTGGGCAAGGGCAAACTTTTAATTATTTAGAGGAGAACGCGAAAGTCGCACAGTTTTTCACACAATTCCGGTTGCAGTTGCCGTTTGCCCGGCCAAAGGGGTCCGTGCGGGGCTTAACCCAAAAGGTAAATTCAATTACGCTGTTGCTGCCATTGTTGTTCGGTTTTTGTAATTACAAACAAGTTTGCAACTAATCAAATTAGCAGGCGCCCGGCAAGCATAGAGCCTAAATAAATTCAGTGCCAAAAATATTGCCACATATGGCAGGGATTTTCCCTAGCTTTTCCTTTTGCAGCGCGTGTGCCTGCAAAGAATTTTATCGTTTATCGGCAAGCGTGAGCCCAAAAATGGCTTTTCAAATTGTGCATCAGTGCATGAAATGCGCCATGAAAGCATTTCAGATAAATACGCGGAAACTAACAAATAACCATGTGCAAAAGCCAGACGCAAGGATAAGAAACCCCAAGTCAGCGTGTGTGTGTGTGTGCTACGCAAAGTAAACACTTTTTAAGCATTTAGGCAGTTTAAGGGATAATCGGTTTTTATTTAGCCTAAAATCGAGCCCAACTTGAGGATAAGACCCTTCATGTGCAGCTCCAGTGGGAAGCGAAGCAGTCAAGGGAGCGAGCTGAAGCATACTTGGCAACAGCAGGAGCCGCGACTGGAGCAGCAGCGATCACTGGAGCAGTAGCAATGCCATTGACGTTATGGGAAAGCACTTGACTGCTCGCCGCAGTCACATAGGGTGCTCGAGCGGCAACTACTGCAGCTAGAGGAGCAGTCACAATTGGAGCAGTATAAGTAAGCTGCTCGCCAAGAACACGCACAGCCGGGCAGCAGAACAGGCGACAACGCCAAGGATGACAACGGTCTATGGAAAAAGTAATTTAAATTGAATGAGTAAAAATTAAACAAAATTATAAGCCTTCGAATTTGAACAAATTGCTTAAGACCGAGCATAGGTAATTATGCCTGGATAATGGGGCATATAATTACGGATTACTTGCCCCAGTAAGCCTACGAGCAACATATTCAAATACATTTCAGAGGAAGTTCCTCCAAATCCTTTACAGACCATTGTTATCTTCGCAATCGTCGCCAGTGCTTCTGCCAAGCCGGGTCTTCTTCTGAGCGGGCAGGTGGCTTATAGTGCGCCAGTTGTGGCTGCTGCTCCAACTGCAGTAGTTGCAGCTCCAGCTCCTTACGTGACTGCTACCAGCAGCCAGGTGCTTTCCCATAATCTCAATGGCATCGCCGCTGCTCCAGTGATAGCAGCTGCCCCAATTGCTGCTCCAGTCATCGCCAAGTACGCTGCTGCTCCATTGGCTGCTCCCCGGGCCGACTGCACGCCATCGATGTGCGCCACAGTTTGACCAAGTTCTGTTCTTTAAATGTCGCATCTGAATTTTAATAAAAATTTCCTACAAACCAATAAATTGATGTTACCTCAATTTAAACTAATGAACATAAAGGCAAATCGCCATCGGATGTGGTCACGTGGTCTTCAGACCTAAATATGTAGGTTACTTTTAAAATATTCCAGCTGTCAAATTATGTAACTGTCGGCCAACTTACCTCTGTGCCGCAGTTGAAATAACCTTTGGTTTGGGGCTTACCTTTCTCTGAATACTCGGTTCTTTGATCACATTAATCAATTATATTACACAGATTTAGGCCTGAAATCTGTATATTAATTTATATATTATTTTTAAGTTAGTGCAAAAAAAAAATTAAGACAAATTAAGAGTTTTCGAAGAGGTCTTAGCTTGGCCAGAGCCAACCGAAAAATGAACGAGTTTCAGTCCATTTCCTGCTGCCTATAATAAAAACTTTTCGAAGTACAAGAGCGTTGCCAGATGTTAAAATGGTACTTTGACAGCTCCAGGGTTGACACTTTTGCAGCCCCACGGTAACTCTTATTATGTGTAAGTTTATTCTCTCAATTTAGTTGTTTCAGTTAGCTGAACAACGCTCTCCAGCTCATAACAAACTTAAAGTTCCTTTAATTTTATATATGTATATATATATTATTTACCTGAAAATTAAAATAGAATTTTATTACGTGTGCTAACGAATCATAATTACTACGCTCGAAAGTTCAGTAAACTGCGGCGACCCTGCTGAAGACCTTGACACACATAATATATACAATGGAAAAAAATTGGACACAAACCATTTAGTCAACGTTGTGGACAGTTATTTTCCCCTTCGCACGTGATTACAATCCCAAATTAATTAAAGGTGCGCAACCTAGGCTTACAATTCAATCAATCAAAACAAAGACTTATTAGGCGGCTAAGAGTTTATTTGCAGTCATTTGAAAAGTTCCTAGAAGAGAACTGGACCGAACCGAGGTGAGCTGTAGGCCAAGGGAGTGCTGTACGCCAGAGGCGCAGCCAAGGGAGTAGCTGCATACCTGGCGACGACTGGAGCAGCGATTGGTGCAGCCGCAAGCACTGGAGCAGCGGCAATGCCATTGTAGTTGCGGGCAAACACCTGGCTGCTGCTGGCGGTCACGTAAGGAGCTGCTGCTGCAACTACTGCAGTTGGAGCAGCAGCCACAACTGGCGCACTATAAGCCAACTGCTCGCCCAGGAGCAGACCAGGCTTGGCAGAAGCACAGGCGATGATTGCGAGGATAACAACGGTCTGTAAATAAATTCCGTCAGAGATGCACTTTTTCTTCCAGGCAACTTTTCCCTCTGAAACTTACGTATTTGAACATGTTGAAGATTTGTGGGCTGTGCTGCTCGTAGGGTTAGCTGCAAACTATGTGATGTCCCATCTAAATGGGCAGTCCGTATTTATACCCCAAAGTAGTCTTCAGCCAGTTGTGAGTCATGTGATTCATTGGAATGCGAAGTCTGTTAACATTTTGTAGCTATTATCACTTCGCATGTTTTCCGCTGTTTAATGTATAACGCGTCGTGGGGTCCACAAATTTGAAAAGCAAGCTCAATTTCTCAGTCCTTTTTTGGTATAAATACCACAGCCAAAACCACGAAATGGCATCAAAAGAGTTCAAGCTTTCAAGCTGCAAATATTAGCCCGAAATAGCTAAACTAAAACATTAAGCAACATGTTCAAATTCGTAAGCTAAATAGTTATTTTATTTTTGCCTTGCCCTTATGCTAATCAACTCTTGCCCGCAGACCGTTGTCATCTTTGCCATCATCGCCTGCGTCGCAGCCAAGCCCGGACTTCTTGGCGAGCAGTTCGCTTATACTGCTCCAATTGTGGCTGCTGCTCCAGGTGCAGTTGTCGCAGCTCCTGCCCCATATGTGACTGCTACCAGCAGTCAGGTGTTTGCTCGTAACTACAATGGGATCGCCACTGCTCCATTGGTTGCTGCTGCTCCCGTCGCTGCTCCGGTGGTGGCCAAGTATGTGAGTGCGCCTTTGGCTGCACCAGTTGCTGCTCCGTTCGTCGCCAGATACGCTCCTCTCGCGTATAGTGCTCCACTGGGCTATGCTGCTGGACCAGCTCCTCTATTGTTTTAAAGCCATGCAACTGTGATCATTAGAAAAAATTAATTAAACGAACCAGCTATAAATTTGTATCATAAACTATTTGGATTACCTCACCTCAAGGTTTGCCTAGGTCGACTTCGAATCCTGGCGTGCCAAATTTTCTTTAATCTTCAAGGGAGCTTTTCAATTTGTCACAAATCTAAGTAAGTATATGGGTTGGCTATTAAAATGGGCAATATTAATAAACCAAATGTAGAAATTCCAACTGAAAGTCCTTTCAAATAGGATTTGTAGCCTTGACTTGGCTATATTTTGTTCTTTTGCTATACAAACAAGTAAATGCATGCTATAATTAGCATTGTCTTCGTTTTTTCAAAGTTATTAAGAAGAATTTATTAAGAAAAACATTAAACAAGCTCTGTTCGCATTCTCCTTTAAACTCGCTTTATACTTTTAACAGAAAGATTCATGTAGAATCTCTGTTGAACATCATTTTCACAACTGGCAATGCCTTTTTGCGAACTGTTCGAAAATCTAAGAATATTAAGAAATAGGCAGCACTTCGACAATTGAGAAAAATCAGTGCTATTGGCCACACTTGCAATATCAGTTCTCATATCGAAATGCAGCTCTGTATCGATTTCTGCTAAGAAGTTTGTCCGATTAAATCGTTACAGCAAACCGTAGTTTGCAACTGACAAGTCTTATACAAGTCTTAAAGAGAAAAAAACGATGTAAATCTATAAATTGTTTAGCTTCACGTGGTCTTACGTTCTAGTCTCTGCTTAAAAGTTCATTCAACTACAGGACCTTGGTAAATTGGCCGCTGCAACCTTGACACAAATAAATAAAAACAAAGAAAACTATTTAGCTCCATTTACCATTTACCGCTGTTGACAATAATTTTACGCTGCCTACGTGAGCTCCATTCAAATATCCAATTGAAGTATTTGTTCGCGGCCTTTGCTTTTGCTTTGTGGCTATAAATTGATATTGAGCTGCCCCGCATAGCTACCGATTCCCACATAAAACAGTAAATGATTCAATTATTGAGATTTGTATTTTATATTTTTAATTCAAACGAGATATTCTTACAACAGCACAGGCGAAGCAGCGGCTGCGTAAGTCAGCGGCGAGCTGTAGGCGAAAGGAGCTGCCAGCGGAGCTGCCGCATACTTGGCGATGACTGGAGCAGCCAACGGCGCACTCACATACTTGGCCACCACTGGAGCAGCGACGGGAGCAGCAGCAACCACTGGTGCAGTGGCGATTCCATTGTAGTTGCGGGCAAACACCTGGCTGCTGGTAGCAGTCACATAAGGAGCAGGAGCTGCGACCACTGCAGCAGGAGCAGCAGCTACAATTGGAGCGCTATAAGCCAACTGCTCGCCCAGGAGAAGACCCGGCTTGGCAGAGGCACAGGCGATGATTGCGAGGATAACAATGGTCTGTAAATAAATTCAGTTGACTCAGAGCTGGAGTTTCGCAGGGAACTTTTTCTCTGGAACTTACGTATTTGAACATGTTGGAGATTTGTGGGCTGTGCTGCTCGTAGGGTTAGTTGCAAACTGTGTGATGTCCCACCTAAATGTGCAGTCCGTATTTATACCCCAAAATAGTCTTCATCCAGTTGTGAGTCATGTGGTTCATTGGAATGCGAAGTCAGTTTGTGAGCACAGTTAACATTTTGTTATGTTTTCCGATGTTTAATGTATAACGTGTCGTGGGGCCCACAAATTTTAAAAGTGCATAAGGTCATGTTCGAAGTCCTCTTTGAGTAGATTGGATATTTAGGCTGTAGACATGTTTGCATGGCTTCAAGCTCAATAAGATATTGTGATTGGACGTTTAATGATCCGAACCAATGCTTCACCCTAAAGTTCGGTTCGCGAACATTGCTTTCCACACTCACAGAATCCGATTTTGTCTAGAACCTAAGTCTGTTCAATTTTTAAAAGAACATTTTGTAGTAGTTCATGGTTAATAGCAATAAAGCAATTGCATTTCCGGGTTTGAACTCGCATACAGCCTTTCAAACAATTACAGTTTTCATGGTTCGAACAATTCTTTTCATATTTATTTATATTAGTTAATTTTAAAAATTCGATTTTATAGAAATTAATTCATTTTTATATTTTTCTCAAAGCAAAAATATAGTGCTAGTTTAGAAGTTAAAAATAAATCCGATTTAAGATTCGGTTCATGGTGCAGTTGCGGGTTCGAACCGCCTTGCAGCCTTTTGAGCACGTACAATTTACAGAACTTAATCTTCAGAACCAGAGTGTTAAAATGCGTTTGTTGATTACTTATTTCAGCACCTCGATTATCGTTTACATATATATATTTATTCACAGGCCGTTGTCATCTTTGCCATCTTCGTCCGTGCTGCAGCTGCGACTGGTCCTTTTGAGGAGCAGTCAACTTATACTGCTCCAACTGTGGCTGCTACTCCGGATGCAGCTGTCGTAACTCCTGCCCCATGTGCGACTGCAACCGGTAGCCAGCTGTTTGCTTGTGACTATAATGTCATCGCCACTGAACCAGTGGTCGCTGCGGCTCCTGGGATATCAGTTCTGTTTTTTGGAATATGGAGAAAAAATAATATAAATATCGAAGTCATTAAAGGAACTTAGGCCTTACTTATCTCTGGGAGCCCTCTGGATGAGCTAATTGGACTTATGGCTCGGATATAAACAAAAACCCGGCAATGGCAACGACCGGAGACCAATTGCTGTGCAAGTCACGTAGGTCGCGTTAAAATTATTGTCAATCGCCGGCAGCTAATGTTGTTTTTGTTGCACGACGCGTGACATTAAAGTGTCCAAAGCCAGCTTTGAGTTTGTTTTGGAAAAAACTGGTATTTATGTCAAGGTCATAGGGAAATGCACAGTTTAAAACGGCGAGGCAGTTAATATATAATTTAAAAAAAGGTATATACTAACAAACTGAGGTGCCAGGGGTTAAGAACCTGTGCAGTTATATGAGGTAAATAAAAATATATAGAATGCTAGGGTATATGATAAAGGTGACCTTTCAATAAGGTAAACCTAACGATACACAAATCGAATTAGAATCTATTAATGATTACATTTGAAATAATCTCTCAATCAGATATACTTAAAAATAATTTGAAAATTGTGCCTTCTAGTGATTGAGAGTTGGTAATCCTTCTAGCCAATCGGGCTTTAAAGTTGCAGATTTCTAGTTTCTTTAAAACATGTGTTTTTTTTTAACATTTAGTCAAGTATTTTAAAAATTTATTCATAGGATCACAGTGTCTTCTTATTTAAATGAAAAGTGGTGCAGGAGCCGCAGCGTAGCTCAGCGGTGCATTGTAGGCAAATGGAGCTGCGTATCTGGCGAAGGCTGGGGCAGCCAGAGGAGCAGCAATTGGCGCTGCCAAAGGAGCAGCCGCGTACTTGGCAATGAGCGGCGCAGCAAGAGGATGAGCAAAAGTCGGCGCCGCCAGAGGAGCAGCAACTGGTGCCACAGCTCTGACAATTGGAGCGGCAACTGGAGCAGCTGCAATCACGGGCGCAGCAGCGATGCCATTGAAGTTCCTGGCCACCACTTGGCTGCTGGTGGCAGTTACCACAGGAGCGGGTGCAGCAATGATGGCAGCCGGAGCAGCCAGCGGTGTGTGCAGTAGTCCTGGCTTGGCGGCGGCGCAGGCGAGCAGGGCGCAAAGGACGACGGTCTGAACAGAAAAGAAGATGTGAGTATTAGGAGCCGGCGATAGGGTGCAATAAAAAAGGCGACAACTTACGTATTTGAACATGTTGAGGGATTTCTGATTGCTTTTTGGAGTTGCCACTTGAAGAGCGAAAATGTGTTTGATGACATGTCTTCGTTTTCGATTTATTTTTATAGCAAATCAAAACGCACGTGACGGACGCGCAATAGAAGAAAAACGACAATATACAACAAAATAAAAAGAGTCTAAATTAGCATGCAGAGCGCGCAGACAAAGTAAACCAAAGCAGCTACCGTTGGCCTAACTGTAACTGTAGTAAGTGCGTTGATTAATAATACTTGTTTTTTTAATTTAAAGCTCAACAGGGTGTACACACAAACTGGGTTGAAGGTTGCCAGCCATTGCACATTTTAAGAATGAGTGTCGGTATCTATCGAATGGAAAGTATCGATAGAGCGATCGATAGACCTTGAAGCCTTGCTGGGGAAAGCTTGGCAATCTTTTATATTGCTCGGCTTTAATCCTTTTACCTTATTACCTATGCATCTACCTACTTTTGCCCTACCTTCATATCGTCATGAGCCCAAGTTGCCTTATGAAAATAATTTTTACACACATTATTTTTAAAGCACGAAGACCTACCTAACTACCATCGCTAATATTTTGCTCTCTCTCTCTGCCTCCTTTAGTTGGTGAAAATGCAATGTCGCGTGATGTTCAGAGCGTCTAAATATATTATTTATTGTGTTTTAACAAAAGTGCGCTTAAGCTTAAAGTAAAACTCGTGTTGCAGCAGCCTTGACCTAAAATAAATGTATAAAATACGATTGAAATAATATTTGTGCCAATAAGCAAAAGTGTCCACTGTGTGGGTGTTCGATTGTTCATTCGCGCGTGTGTGTGCTTGTGTATGTGCGTGTGCTGGCTGACCTGTAGCCAGGTGTGAAATATAATAATTTCGGCCGTCGTACGTGCTCAAATTGGTTAATTCGTCTATTTCTCTGAACTGATCTGGAGCCCTACCATTTCGATTCACTGTCTGGAGCGGAAGGAATTTTGTTTCAGCGTGTGAAATATAGTAGAAGTATTGCTTTCACTACCTGCTCGAAGATACATACATACATACGTATATGGGAGCTCGCGAATTGCGAATGCAAAAGCAAAAGCCAGAAATTTGTTCATAATCAGGAATACATAATGGTGTGAAGGCGGTAAGTACATATAACATGCATAGCATTAATTAATTAATATTCGCATTTTATTTTATACGTAGTCATGGCAATACAACATATGTACATATGTACATACATATGTAAGTACATATGTACATACATATGTAAGTATGTTTGTATGTAAAATATAATATGCCCTGCAAAGGAGTATAGAAGTATTCTCCCTGTGAGTCGTTTATCGTTTAATACTTTGCATTTAATACGTAAGCTCGCTTTGTGCATGTGAAACATCCGCACTTTTTATTTCCCATTAACCATAGAGAGCAAGAACAAAGCACTGCAAAGCAACGGTACGTTTAGGGAACGGTTTTATTTTCGTATTCTTTTTGATCGTTTGGCGATGCTTTGCTTGGAACGTCGTGACAAAATTCGAACAGTTTTATTTCGCGTTCTCTTTCGTTGGTTGGCCTTGCACTGCTAAGAAACAACAACAATGCGTTTTGTCATTGATGTTGTTGCTTTTGTGCAGATGGTATTTCATGGTATTAAAATAAAAACATTACGCACAAGGCCGTTAATCGGCATAGATTGTGATGTCATTTCATTCATCGTTAGTGAATATTTGTACTTCTATAAAACTCCTGAAGGGCTCGATAGATTCGTATGATTCTCTTTTTGGCAATAATATACATACTTACATTTAATGTTGTTGCTATGTTCTTTTGGATGAATATTCAAACCTTCTAAAATAGTAAACAATTGCGGTTGTTTTGGTATTTTTTTGATCTATCTGTTTTTCTTACATTTCCTATTGATGAACATTGATTATGATCCGTAAAAGTCAATTATAGGTACATTCAATAAATTGCAGATAAATGTTTATATATGTTACATTGTCTGTGTTTGTATATTGATATTTTCAATTTCGTGCACTTTGATGTTCATACAAATTTTGTATAATGAGCTGCGGCAATCGAAATTGGCTGCCCTTCGGGTTTTGTGGGCAGCTCCGGAGACCCTCAAAGACATTGCTGGAACCAAAAGCAACTCAACTACCAATTATAATGCCGCCGCTTATAATGGCCAACGTGCTCCACGCAGGGCGCATTTTAAGTGGCTCCAGTAAAGCGTCGGCTTCTTGGGTATAAATATGCGCTGCATGGCCTCAGTTTGACATCAGTTAGCAATTCGCTTTCAACCAGCTATCAGCAGCAAGTCACAAAACAACAAAAATCATAAATCAAGATGTTCAAATACGTTAGTAGCCTTTGGTAATTGGTGTATCAATGGGGACTAACTAATCCCTGTCAAAAATTTCACAGGCCGTTGTCATTTGCGCTTTGATTGCCTGCGTTGCCGGCAAGCCGGGATTGCTGCACGCACCGCTGGCTGCTCCAGCTGCCGTCTTTGCTGCACCCGCTCCGGTGGTGACTGCTGCCAGTAGCCAAGTGGTGGCCAGAACATTCAATGGCATTGCAACTGCGCCCGTGTTTGCTGCCGCTCCAGTTCCAGTCGCTCCCGTTCCAGCACCAGTCATCAGGGCTGTGGCCCCAGTTGCTGCTCCTCTGGCTGCGCCAGTTTTCAGACATGTGGCACCAGTTGCGGCACCTCTGGCCACGCCCTTCGCTGCGCCCATCATTAAGGCTGTTGGACCAGTCGCAGCTCCATTGGCTGCCGCTCCCATTGCCCATCCGTATGCGGCTGCCTTTGCCCATCCCTATGCGGCACCGGTCTTTGCCAAGTATTCTGCCCCGTTGGCTTATGGAGCAGCTCCGTTGGGCTATGCCGCAGCTCCAGCACTGTGGTAGGAGCCAAAGCTCAGCAAGGATTAACAACGTGTGTGTTCAATGACTGATAGCCTTTAATAAAAATCGTTCAACTTGGTATAAAAAGTAAAAATTGCTTCCATTGTTTGTCGAGACCGTGGTATCGGTCGGTTTCGTGCTCTAATCCTAGGCTCAACAGCTTTCTTACGGATTTTGCAAACCTGAAAACTAATTGAAAGAGTTGCAGTGTTGGTAAACAAGTCTTATTTGAACGCGCGTCAATACAATGGGATGGTTGGCTGATATAAACTTGCCTCGCATCTCATTGGAATTTAATATAAATTCGAAGTACTTTAGTTTTATTTCCGGCTTAAGTAAATTATTCACTAGTTTATAATAACTTTTTGGGAGTTTAATTTTGATATTATTTTGATATTTATCAACTTTTTACAAAAAAAGAGCATTGCAACTTTTTCAAAACAATTGCATGTACTTTTTTAAGCTTTAAATTTGTTTTCGTAATCATCTTAAAGGCTCGGTAAAAGCGAGAAGAGATTGGGAGAGTCAATCGCTTTTGTTCAGGTCATTTGTGTTTCATTGTGCTTCGTCCATCTAAAACGAATTATGGCACATGTACATGTGTGTGTGTTCGTGTGTGCGTGTGTGTGTGCAGGGTCAGATGCTGAGCAAAACTGGACTGCACTGCCAGCTAGAGTTCAGGTTCAGGTCGTTTCTCATGCGCTTTTCATCGATATTTGCCATTCATTTGGCTTTGGCAAACAAAGGCGAAGAAAGCGTGCCCCCAACGACCAATAAATGTCCAAATAATTTCATTCGATTTCTTTTTTGTTTTCTCGTACGTGTGCTGGAAAATGAAACCTTAAAGTTCTGCTCGTTACGGGAACTTGATGTTGAAAACTAATAGAAAACTGAGTCAAGCTGTAATGCAAAGTAGAAAGCGAAAACTTAAACAGCAAAGATACGCGGTACACATATGCCACGCCCACGTCTTTTCTATCCGGCCCGCAGTTGATTTTCAACGGCAGCGCAAACGCAGCAAAGTTTATCCTCAATTAAACTTTTTGTTGTTGCGTAAAATTGCGCCAGAGTTAGGGTTCGTTCAGTTTGTCTGTGCCCGGGTGTGCACACAAGTACATATATGTGTGTGTGTGTATGTGTGTGTATGTGTGTGATAGGCTATACAACAGACCCACATATATATATATAGAGATCTTTTCATCCTATTCCAGCCTCATCTTCATTTGTTGGCTTAACTTTTAACTCCACTTGCCTTAATTTTCGCTCACTTGATTGTTGTTTTTGTTGCGCTCGGCACATTTTTGGTAATTTCCGCCCCTGGCAAGTACCGACACAAAAATTCTATGAACTTCAGTTACCCCATCTGACAATCAACCCGCCCGCCCCATCCTTTATCCGTCTATGTGGCATGTTGGTGGGCTGTTTTTTGCCATAGAACATTTCATTAGCTTTCCTCACATGCGTTTTAATTTGTTGCATCATTGCGTTGTCGAGTTTTCCTTTTGGTAATTGATTTCACATCCAAGTTCTTGTGCAAACTTTTAATGCACATTTACGTCTAATTAGAAAGACTTTCAAAGGACACGAATTTTGGTATTTGATGCGAATCAATTCTGAATTTCGTGGCACTTTATTTCATGTCAAATGGTATTTTGATTATGGTCTATTTATCTGGAAATTTTGCATTTATTTTTGTTATATATTTTTATGCTATGATAATTTGTTTAGTTTACAATATGGTAAAACTGTTTAAAAAAATAAGAGATTTAAATATCGTGGACATAATCTCTTATTTTCCATGTGTTTGCAAAAATTGAAATATATTAAAACAAATAACCATCTCACGTCACGATCGCATCAGTTTTTCAGTTGGAGATGTTTGCATTTGGAATTTCTCTTATGCAAACTGCACACATTTTTCTCAATTTCTCATGACACTTGCATATGCTTAGATCATAATGAACAAAAAAAAAAAAAAGTGAAAATTTTCCATACCAAACACTTTGCGTATAGACAAACGATTCAAAGCTCAAGATTTACCAGACAAGCGAACGGCAACTATGACGGCTTCGTTGTGGTTGTTTAGCAGCTTTCTCACTCGATTTGAGGGGAGTCTGATTTGAAAAGGGGTGGAGGAAAATGCGGCACAGTGCTTTTGGCCTTTCAGCTACAACAACGCGAAAATCCAGCAGCCTTCTGGCTTTTGATATGACGACAACAAGCCATGCACGGCGCTTGGTACACCGACTACGTGATTTGTTTGCCAGAGCAATTTACATGCCAGGGCATGGATGCGATGGAGATGACAACAACGTACACCTGTATGTCTGTGTGTGTGTGTGTGTGTTAGTATTGGGCTGGGCTATATGTGTGTTGCAACCACTTTGACATTTGGCACCCGCAGTCAAGGATTTCGCAGCGTGGAAAAAAGGGAAAAATTGAATGCGTGGAAAGCGAAGCGCCGACAATTGGATGCGAAAACAAAAACCGCATTGCTTCACAAAATGTCAAACGACAATGACAACGACAACGACAACGACGGCGGCAGAAAACGCACAAAGCGTAATTTCAACTCCGACCGCCAGGTGGCGCTGCAAAACTTAATCACCTAATGCAAAGCGACGCGCGTTAAGCGTCTAAATAATGAGCTGCCGTCGAACGGAAAATGGAAAACGCTTTGCCAATTTGCATAGCCAGCTAAATGCAATTGACATGGAACAGACGCCCGTTGGGTTCAATTGGCAGCAGAGCGACAGGGTTGCAGGGCAGGGCTTAACTATCAACCAGGCGGTATACGTACACCAATATACATATATTAGAAAAAAAGACACGCCTTATTTAAATGAAACAAAGAAGTATTAGGCATGTCTGCATCGTTGCCTGTCAATTGACATAAGTTGGGAATTTGCACGCTAAGCCATTTCATTGGGGGATTGATTTTGCCTTAGCATATTACGCATACGCCGCATGTGTCAAAGGTGCCAAGAAATGTGCCAATTGCATTTGCGAATCTCTCTCTCTCAGAAATGTTCTTATTCACAGCCCAAAACCAGTCTCCACATTTGCTTTCGCCAGGCCAAGCGTCGACAAAAAAATGAGCGTAGAAAGTTTTTGTCGAAGTTTGTTTTGCCTGTGCTCTGCCCTCTGCCAGGCTCTGAGGTTGAAGGGTTGCCTGCCACATGTGCGTGTGTGTGCGTCTGTGTGTGTGGGTGTGTGTGCGCGCACATGTGGGTGTGCCTCTTATTTGCTGACACAGCTCCGATCCGCATTTAGTTACGAAAGCGAAAAATAATTAATTAAGAAGTGCAAATCATAGCAAAATAATGCGGGCTGTCAAATTAAAACTAAAAGTAAACGCCAGCAACAGACGCCCGGAAATAACCAGACATCGCTTAAAGACACACAAAAGGCTTAAAGCACACACACCCACACACATGCCGGCTGCTAAAAGGTGGCGTAAAATTTGAAACTCCCGCCAGGAAATTGCCAGAAATTCAACTTATATCCTGACATAGCAATTAGCACTTCCGTTTTGTACGAGTTTGTGTACTTTTGTCGAATTCTCACATAAATGTGCCTCCTTTTGGCCCTTAAGTTATTCAAAATATTTGTTTTCCTTAAACAATGCATTTTTGATCGATCGGATATTAGAAAAAAAAACTAATTAACATAATAAATATAATTAAGTAGGGATTAGATGTATGTTAAATGATGAAAACTTAATTAATTTGTTCAACTTCATATCCCGAGTTAAGTCAATAATCTAGCTATCTTATCTCAGCCAATTAGTTATATTGCTCAATGTCAGAAGCGATACCAAGTACAATTACCCTCACAATCCCCCTTAAGCGGCGGCTGTTGCCCACTTTTTGGCATTTCTAAACTTCTAACCAAACAATTTTCGGTCTGACGACATACGCTAGGCCAAGAATTCTTTGAAAACTCTGCCATGTGCAATTGTAACTGCCAAGGCTATTTGAAAGCCTCGAACTAGAACTCGAACTCGGTTCAGCTTCTTGAGAGTTTGGGCCGAGCTTAGATTCACCTGCCTGCTCGACTGTCGCGTCCTGCTGGCTCTGGTCGTCGTCGACAAGCAAAACTCAAAACACCAGAGGGCTTTATATAAGCACAACTTGCCGTCGCTCTATCTGTCTGTGTATTTAAACTTTTGTAATAATCTACAGCAAATGCGCAGCGTCAGCGTCGGCGTCTTCACCTGGAACTACCGACTCCACAACAAGCAAAGTTCCGGGTCGCCATTTTGCTTTTACTATTTGTTTTTTGCGACTTCTGTTGACGTTGTCTCCTCTGCAGCCTTTCAGCTCACTGTCCCTCTCCCTTTCATCGCCGAATGTCGCCCAGCGGCGCACAAACTTTACCTTTGCCCAAATTTCATTTATAAACATTTCAAGAGAGGGACTGCAAATTGAGTGTTTAATTGCAATGAAGTTCCCATTTGGATGTCAGTGGCAACATATGCACCGAAGCAAGCATCGTCACCAACCGGAAGCTAGTGGAGACTAACTGTTAGAGCAGATGGCAGCTACTTGAACTTGGAATTGCTATTTGCTACAGCATCTTGACTCTTAGCTCTTCTCCTTGTTAATGCTGGAATTACCATAAAGTGTATGATTTGCGATACTTTTCCCTTTTTTCAAGAGACAACAACACAATTATTTATGAATAGCTTAACGTTTCCTAATTAAATATCATTCTTTTATCTAAAATCCTCTTACGTAAACTATGCATTTATTCAAACCACATTATGTAGCTGCAGGGCCAAGATAATTGGTCGTTATCTTGGTTCAAAGTTCGAACCAGCTTCCTGCCTTTTGTTTTGTTTGTTTTTCTTGTCCAGTATTATGGTTTAAATAGATAAATGAAATATTTTAACTTTTGCATTATTGCGCGTATTCAAAATTAGCGCTAAATTTCATCTCTTTTTAAAATGGGCTTTCACCAAATATGATTAGCCTTTCGAGCGGTTTTTATGCTTTGATGCCTAGCCCAGGCAAAAAAAGGTTAAGCTTGGTTTTATTTTGCTGAGCTGGTTTGGTTTAAGGCT